TTATTACAGTTGATTCATCATTATGGCTTGGTTTCGGGTTTCAAGATTAATGTAAATAAGACCAAAATTTTACCTAAAAATATGTCTAGTCAGGAGAAGCAGATTTTGACTAACCTGACGGGTTTTGAGATTGTTAATAAGGTAAAATATTTGGGGGTGATGTTGTCTGTTTCTAATGTAAAATTATTTAAAAATAATTATGAAAGGTTGTGGGTCAGGGTACAGAAGGACTTGAAGAACTGGGAAAAGTTGCAATTATCCCTCATGGGAAGAATTGCAGTGATAAAAATGAATATTTTACCCAAGTTTCTTTTTCTGTTTCAAATGTTACCAATTTTGAAAAATGAGATTAATTTAAATGAGTGGCAGATGGGTCTTAATAAATTTATCTGGGCAGGGAAAAAGCCAAGGGTTAAGTTTAAAATTATGCAAGACTTCCGTGAGAGGGGTGGACTTAAGGTACCAAATTTGAAATTATATTATGATGCGGTGGTTTTAACACTAATCAGTGATTGGGTAAATTTGACAAACTCTGAGATACTTTATCTAGAGGGATGGGACTTACTTTATGGGTGGCATGCCTATTTAATATTCAATAAAAAAATGGATTGGACTTTTAAATCTCATATCTTAAGAATCTCTTTACTTAGGATTTGGAGAAAATATTATAAAAGTGATTTCAAAGTACCATTATGGGCTATACCTTGGCATGCGATAGAAGCAATAAAAAGAGGGGTTAAAATGGATATGGTGTCCTACAGACAGTTACTTAAATGGGATGGACAAAACTGGCAATTAAAATCACGGGAAGAGTTAGCACAAGAAAACTTTATTTATTCTTGGTTCCAATATAGGCAATTATTAGACAGATGGAAGATGGATTGTAAGGTGGGTTTTCTTAGAGAAGATGAAAATCTTATTAAGCAAGTGAAGGATTCAAGACAAACCCACATTAAGAGAATTTATGCGGTTTTAGTTGAATTGGATTCAGAAACGGAACTAATTAAAGATTGTATGATAAGATGGGCGCAGAATTTTGGTGAGCCAGTTCTCATTGGACACCTGGGAAAAAATTTGGGTGAGAAATGTCAAATTTACACAAGCACAGAACTTAAGGGAGAATTTTTATAAAATGTTTTATAGATGGCACCTTGATCCACAAAAAATGTCTTATATGTACCCTGACGTGCAACCCAAATGTTGGAGATGTGGTTATAAGGAGGCTTCCTATTATCATATTTGGTGGTCATGCAGAGAGATAAAAGCATTTTGGATCAAAGTATGGTGGAATATCCAGAGAATTTTTAGAAGGAGGGTAAAATTTACTCCGCAATTATTTTTGTTAGGTATTGTTACAGATTGTGATACAAAGGAGGTTGTATTGATGTTAAATTTGATTACAGCCGCTAGGCTGTTAGTAGGACAATATTGGAAGAAGGAATCCTTGCCTACATTGCAGGAATGGTTTCATAAAGTAGCTTATCTGGCGGAAATGGCAAAGATTTCGGCTTTCTTAAAGCAACAAACGCAAGAGAAGTTTCTTGCTGTTTGGGACAAATGGATAAAATTTATACAATTTAGATTGGGTATACAAAAATATTATATAGTTTTTTCATAAGTTTTATTTTTATATATATTATAGATAATCTTTTTATATATATAAATATAAAGTTCTTAATTTAATTTTTATTTTTACTTTTTAAGCCTATATTCTGCTCTGGGAAGCTCAGGGGGGGGGGAAGGGAGGGGGGGGGTTTTGGGAGGGGTGGGTTTTTTTTTTTTTTTTATATATGTATTGTTTAGTTTTATTTTTTTGTATATGTTGTCTCTTGTTTTGTATTCTTTTTTCTTTTTTGTAAAATTTATAAAACTTTTAATAAAAAAAATATCAATGGCAAGCTTCTTGGATGAGAAGCAAAATATTTTCCAAACCAAAAAAAAACCCCAAGAAAGTCCAGTTGCCTTTTGGAAAAAGCACCTTTGTGACACTTGTTTCAATGTAATAGTTATTCTTTATTTTCAACAACTTCAAGATTTCATTTGTGGATAGCAAAGCTGAAACAGCCAAGTAACCGTGCATCCTGAACTATTGACCTCAGGAGTTTCTTGCCTTCTGCAATAAATTTCATGCTACTGCTAGTTAGAAAAGAGACACACTGAATGTATTCCCATTTCTTACATGCTTATTTGCTTGCAATATTACAGCATGCAATTAGTTTCTGATTCCATTCATCAAAGCCTCCTAGCCACGACCAATCCGCTCAAGTCAATCATAATGATACCATTTCGATAGCTGCATCTATTTTGTTATAGCATTAATCCAAAGAGTTTATGCTTTTAATGGGCTTGTCAAGTCGCTAATCTTTCTCTTCCCCATCAATCTCCAAACATCCACAAAATTCCTCTAAAGGAATTTAAGGAAATACGTATAGCTAAATCCATAGGGACAGGAAATAGCACCACCAGGTGGACAACCATCAATGGACAATGGATAGTTAGAATGACCTGGACAGACAATGGATTCATTGAGATCCAAAAAATTTTATCTGAATTTAAACTTAATACTTAGTTAGGAAAACCCCAAGGAATTCCAGATATCCAAGTTACCTAGAAGAGAGCAAACTATAGCCAAGAAATCAACATGACTGTGTGGAGGGAAGTAGGAAGACCTTTAGACTGTGGGGGGAAGAAGGAAGAACTTCAGATTTTTGCTTTTTTAAAAAAGATATCAAACATTTACATGTAATGCATACATGATCCTGTCAACTCATTTGTTTTTGAGTATTCTTTTAGTCCTAGAATTGGTTAAAGTCAATATTACTAAATTAGACTACAAGGACCTTGTATATTCCCGTTGTTTTTGTTAAAACAACTTTTACAAATTCGGTCTTGGCCCTTTCATGATATATCCATTATGCTGCAAATGAGGTCCAGACTTTATCTTCAAAGAATTGTTGAAAGTTTGGACTTGAATTGTTAAATTTCAAATGAATGGCCAAAACTGAATTTTGAAAATTGAACCTAGAATAGCAAAAAGCAAGTATCAGGTAAAAGGAAAAATCCAATTTAGACTTTTAAATAGAAGCACAGGAAACTGAAAGCAGAAAAAGGTCCAGTAATCCATCAAATCTGCCCTTTGAGGTTTTTTTTTCTTAATTTATTTATGTATTACAATATTTATTCTTTTGTTATTTTTATTTATTTTTTTAATTTTTGTTGAATATAGACACATGTTTATCCCAAGCATGTTTAAACTCAATTATTGTTTAAAATCAAAGTTCCTCATGCTTCTGTATATCTTTCACCCTTAAAAAAGTGCTATATCGTTTTGTTAAAAATGGCATACTCTTTTTTTTATTATAGCCTAAAATTGGTAGCAAACTACTACCTTCAAAGTGCACGGGGCAAAAAAAGTTTTGACTCCCATAAGGCCATGTGAGCTAAGAAATGATTATTTTAAAAAGAAAGGAAAAACTCAAGGTGCTAGCCATCATTGTGGTAAAATAGAAACCCATCCATAGTTATTGTTTAGTTCCCTGCCCCTACGCCCAGTATCAACAATTTCAAATAAAAGAACATAAAATAAAAAAAAACATCAAGGCTTTATAGAATATCACTTTTGATTCATATTACTTTGCTGTGACCCAGATGCATGCTTGCATTAATTACAGAACTTATATGGCTGCCTATTTCATACAAAGATTCCTGACAGCTCACAACAATCTATAAAAACATAGCTAAAAACAAAAAGTATCCTTCTTTCCAGGTGCCACAACAGAACTTCTTCATTGAGAGACTGAATGTCTCCACAGCCATGTGATTATGTTTTTATATCAAACTTGCTAGACTTTTTCATGGGTCTGTTTTTGTTGAACAAATATATTCTTCATGTTCTATGTTCCAATCATGACTTTTATCTGCCAAGTTTCTATGATAGAGATAATATTTGCTTTCTTGCATCAGAATTTCTCATCCCTTATTTGTTACAATGCACAGATATAGGAGATTGAGAAAGAACACTTTTGAAAATGGTGTATACAAGGGAGTGTGTGTGCGCGCGCATTTGTGCTTACATTGAAACAACAACCTCAGGCAGAGATATTATACTTAATAAATTGCATCAGGAAAATTAGCATTGAAAAAGGTATCTCAGAGAATTTATGTTATGAGCAACGTACATGAGACAAAATTGTACACAATAATAGTGGACTGTATGAACGTTTGCAAAGAAAAGAAAAGCTTTAAAAAACTTTTAAATTGTTGGCGAAGTATGAACAGTACTAACAAATACAGTATAAGACCAAAATTATACTCACTCAGTCTTTCTGATACAAGGAGTTTTATCTTTGGCCAGAAGATTGTACAGGACACAGTTTAAACTGAGCATTCCTAGAACAGCTTTCAGTTGGAGATCCAATGGATTTTAAGAATTAAAATGAAATTTACTCAAAGCTTGCAGTTCAAACATAGAAAAATCTTACAGATTGCTATCAAGCCAGTGGCCACCTATTTCATACAGTAGTCAAACAAATAACTTTAGGAAGCCCTCTACTAAAATGTTTCATTTCTAGCAATGATCGGGGGGGAGGGATAGGGAGATTGAGGATTGTCTGAACAAATGTCTAAAATGTATTTAAGGTGAATAAGATTGAACAAACTAAAAATGAATCCTCTCGATATGGCAGGGATTCAACCTGTTCTACATGGAGTATTATTCCTTCTGAAAGGGCCACTTGGGACTTTGAAGGTCTTTTTGGATTTAAAGATAGAGATGACTAGGAATGGCTTTTGTGAGACTTCTGCAATCTCACAATTTATATATTTATTTATATTCTTTTTTTATAAGCCAACATTACAAATTAGTTTTCTTTGGCTTCCAACTAATCTCCATAGGTTTCTATATACTGTCCGGTTTTCCCATCTCCAAACTCCAAAACAGATAGCAACTTTTTCTGGAAGTAGAAACAGATTATGTTGTCCTCTTTTAAGTCTTCACTCACCTTCAGTGCAAACACAGTTTCTATGCTCCATTTCTCAAACACACATTTCCCTGTCTCCTTGAACATTCCTCTCTGTTTAGGCTGGAGTGCTTCAGTTTGTTGCAATTTGTTGACTATTTTGCAGAGGAAAGACTTCCCCTTCAACTGAGCCAATGGCTTAGCTTACCAATAGCTCTAGTATATTTTAGATTTTTCCTTTAACCTGACGGTTGCAATAATACAATTATAAATCAAATGCTGCTGGTCACCTCACATAGCACCTGTTAGATATTTCTTAAAGCAGGTACCTGGATACAATCCTGAGAAATGAATTTAAGGAGATGCTCTGAAGTTTTTTTTTTTTTTCATTCAGAACCGAAGCTCTGCACACCACTTTAGTGTCTATAAGTCCTTCACCTCCAATAAGCATAACCATTGTTCGTATGTGAAGCAAGCTATAATCAGGGGAAAAAATTGGTAGAAACTGACTCATGATGTAATGATGGTTTTGAATACAAGAGGTAAGTAAATATTATGATGGGACTGCAGGAGTTTGGTAAACAAATGCTTGGTCACCTCAGCCAGCTCCTATGAGCTCAAATGGCATCATTCCAAGCACAAAATGGATTTGACAATAAGCTAGCAAAAATTCTGGAAACTAATTTTAAGGGATGAGGAAACTTTAAAAGAAAGAGAAAGAAATAATAGATCCAATACTAACCAAGAACATTCCATGTCATAATGTTCAGTATCCTGTTTTAAACTATATTAAATTTATTCACCATAGTTCAGAATAACTACCGTGTTCCTGCATAATAATAAACAATATGTTACAAATTCCTTCCTTCTTTTTAGGACAACTTCATCCTATTTTGTTTCATCTAAAATTTGTTAATCCAGTTTTAAAACTGAATCTGTATGTCTATAGGTACATTTGCAAAATAAGTGATTTCTCATAAAAAGATCAAATATATCTGTTCTCCTTGCCAGTTAAAAGCCCGTCATTTTTATAGTGACAAGCTACTTGTGTCATAAGCTAAAAGCAGGGACTGAGAAATAAATCCAGAACATCCAGTAACCATTTTATTTGGCCAATGTTCTGCAAACATTCAAATCAAAGACAGAGAGCATTTTTCCATTTTATCCCTGCCCTGTCCTATCCCCAGAAAAGCAAAACACTCCTTAGAACTTCAAGTGAAATAATGAGAATGCCACTCCTTTCTAGACATGAAAAAAAAAAAACCATAAATATACTGTAAGTAGACAAGTTCTTAAACTTTGACAACTGATAGCTGTCTGGCTCGGACTCTGGAACAGAGCGTGCATGTTAATGCCTGTCAACATTTGATGTGGATTTGGAAATGAACTAAGAACTTACATTTTTAAATATGAATATACGACGCATAAAACAGGAAGGGACTTTGAAGATAAATAATTAAATACTTTTGGCTTTTCTAAGTCATATGAAATGAGTGGGAAACCAGTGGGAACACTCCCTAGGCAAAAATCAGGACACTGTGATAAGTGAAAGGAAACAAAAATACATTGTTGATTCTGCATTCTTCTTTGTTCCACAGAGCTTCCCAATGCTTCAGAGCCAATTTTAGGGATGGTAAGGCAGAAGCAATTAATATTCATTAATTGCTTCTGCCTTACCATCCCTAAAATTTACCATCCCTAAAATCTCTTTATTCTGCTTGGCAGAAGCCTTCTAGAGATGGAAGGACATTTTCCATCTGCAGAAGGCAAAGTCTGGGTACAACCTATCGTTAATAATAGCTCTTAATAATTTATTCCAGTCCATTTTAGTAGTTTATCATCATCTACTTTTCATAAAGTTTCCACAAACAAACTATTCACAGAATGCAAGAATTCAAGGAAAATAACTTTCTGTTCTATCGGTCACTCTAATTGCAAATAAGGAAATGTGAAGGTTATGATGTGGCTGATCACAAAATAATGTTTTTTGATTGCCTAGAAATCCATAATGTTTCAATCCAAAAGCCAAATAAACTTCATCTCAATGTGAAGTCAACATTCTTCAAATAAATGTCATGGAAATAGATTGAAGCTGCAGATCCTACATTTTGAAGCACACATTAGAACTATTAGACCACCTGGATGAAAATTGTGGGATCTGCAGGTTCAAAATCTGAAAGAAACCAAGCTAGAGAAATGTGGTGTAGGCTGTACATGAATAAAATATAAGAGAAAGTCATAGGCTAATACATATGTTTTATTCTACTGTATGCAGAACATACCTACATCCCTGTATATAGGTGTGTGTGTGTGTGTGTGTTTTGCTGAAATAATATTTCTTTTTAAACTGATTGCTTACTGAAAGTATCCACACCTAAACACACAGTATGGTTTATACATAAGGAGTTCTTGAGTGGTTCATGGTTTCTTTTTACAGTATCAGCCCTATGATAAGCTATTCTGTGAATCAGCTTCAGTCTTACAAATATCTTTATCCCCAAATGGTGCCTTCCATGATATGGATCAATTCTCATGGTTATTTAGTGAGGAAGATTACCTAATAGGGCTTTGTTGCTTGAAAATGATTAAAGTTAAGGTGCCTCTTAAAGCAGCCTCACCTGGAAGCCTAATAAATTCTTCTAATGAAGACCAGAAAACTCTGAACCCTTCTTCCAAATTGCTTTTTAGATATACACAACTCTGTTACCTCATGCATATTGGATTTCCTGGTCACTGTACAGGATAATTTTTCAAAATCAAGGTACTGGTCATACTTTTGAGGTTTTTTTAATGCTTTCATAAAATTGGGTTACATCTGATTTTTTATAATCTCAAATCACCAAACTGATAGTGGGAATAATTAGTTCAGCCAAAGGATTGGGTCAGCTTCTTTTTACTCTTTACATAATATTTTAATGTATCTACCTTCTGTTATATATACATTAAACACTACTGTTATGCTTACATTAAAAAGAATATGAAAAATATTTCACTACTGTCCTATTCATATTTATTCCACATGAAATCTTGCTGTATACAGAAAGGCATATTCTCACTTAATGAACACAAAGTTCAGACAACTGAAATTATAAGTGAGTTACATTCTAAATTTCATTTATGTATGTATTGTGAATTGTTGCACTATAGGAGATGAAGAAGAAATTGCATCATAGAACTTTCTATCATTAGTTGATACTCTGAATTTGATATAGAAATTAAGAACTCACCAATAATTTTATTGTATTCCTTGAATGACTATGATCCTAAGGGACAGACTGTCTGCTCAACAAATTAACTTTACAGAGAAAAACATAGAAAGTTCAGTAAACTTTACATATTGTTAAAATTCATCTGAGCTTTTAAAATGTTGTTCTGAATACTTCCTGAATAATAATAATTATTAGTAATAGTAATGAATAAATGCCTCTAAAGAAGCTGGTCTTTCCTGCAGCCCAAATTAATAAAGCAACAAAAGACCAGGCCCAGCAACTGGAAAGAAAGAAACATGTCCACAGTAGCCTAAATAAATATCGTGAGGACATGTCATAGAAAAACCATTCTGAGGCAGATTCATGCTACCATCTGGAGAACCTGAGGATGAGGCCTTAAGGAAGCTTTCCAAATGTTGAACTCCAATGCTCATCAATACTTGTTGGCCTAGCCAATGGTAAGAAATGACAGGAATTGCAACTTCTCAATTTCAACTCAATCAGAATAGAACTTTGATTCTTATTTTTATAGAATAGAAATAGAATCTTGGAGGTCTTCTAGTCCAAACCCTGCTCATGCAGGAGACCCTACACCATTTCAGGCAACTGGATGTCTAGTCTCTTCTTCAAAATCTCCAGCAATGAAGCACCCACAACCTCTGAAAGCAAGCTGTTCCACTGGTTAATTGTTCCCACTGTTAGGAAGTTTCTTCTTAATTCCAGGTTGCTTCTCTCCTTGATTAGAATAGAATAGAATAGAGTAGAGTAGAGTAGAGTAGAGTAGAGTAGAGTAGAGTAGAGTAGAGTAGAGTAGAGTAGAGTAGAATAGAATAGAATAGAATAGAATAGAATAGAATAGAATAGAATAGAATAGAATAGAATAGAATAGAATAGAATAATTTTATTGTCACTTTAAATCAGGGGTGTCAAACTGCTGGCCCACGGGCCAGTTTCATCATACCGGAGCTGCACCCACCCAATTACCAGCAATGGCGAAAAAGCTCCGATACGTTGCACAACTTCACATGACATCACAAGTTGGCATGTCTGCTTTAAATGTATACTAATCGGCATACATTAAAATGAAATTTCATTGCATGCAGCTCTCTAAGAGTCACCATCTCCAATATACACTACATAAATATGACAAAAAAAGAATTTTTTGGGGGGGATATACACATACTCACATATATTCTATGACACAGAGAATATCCGTTTTCATATTCTATGACACAGTTTCCATCCATTGTTTCTTGTCTTGCTTTCTGATGCTTTGAAAAATAAATTGACCCCCTCCTCTTTGTAGCAGACCCTCAAGTACTGGAATACTGCTACTACATCACTCCTAGTCCTTCTTTTCTCCAGATTAAGTCATATTCAATTCCTACAACCATTCTTCATATGATTGAGTCTCCAGACCTTTAATCATCTTAGTTGCTCTTCTCTGCAATTTTTTCAAAGTCTCAATATCTTTTTTGTAATGTGGTGACCAAAATTGGATGCAGTATTCCAGGTGGGTTATTCAGTATTTATGCAGTATTCCAGGTGTATTCCAGGTGTAGTTCTGGAGGATTAGAGTTCTCCACTGCTGTCTAAACTATGGGTCAGGCTTACAGAATGCCCACCATAATGCAGTTTTTTTTACACCGGATTTTGGGGACAAAGCTATTCAGGAAGTGGGAATAATTATTTGCATAAAACAATAATAAAAGAAGGAAATGTTTGACTACATTTTATCTGTATGATCTTATCCAGTTGATCCATTATAGCTTTGCTCCGAGTTAGGACTTGTCAGTTGATATTTGTCAAGTTGCACTGTAAATAAAGTTTCCTATATTCTTAACTGTCAAATTTATGGGTGTGCTGCATTGGAGTGGGGAACAAGGTTCCAGAAAAAAATCTTGATAGAGACAATATTACATCATCATTTTTCATTTCTTCAACACTTGGGGCAAGTAAAGTCAAAGGAGGATAGAATAAGAGCTGAAAGAATGCACTGGCAACTTTAGAATTAAGGATTACCTAGGAAAAAAAGTCTGACACTCTTTGGGCTAATATTTGAAGGGACCCCTCAAAAGCAGAAAAAGTGAAAATTTCAAAAATAAAACACAGATGTAAGAAATGGGAGTGCCTTTGAATTAAGAGCATGAATGCAGCCACAGCGCCTCCTGGTGTTCTGTCCAAA